TCCTCTATCTCCAGTCCACAACGCAGTCCTTTCGGCATTTCCAACAAGGCCCCACGCCTGTTTGCACTACTCCGATGATACTTTCGACACAGACAAACCTCCAAGTGGCCTCAACGACCCTCTAAAAAGGATGCAAATGTCTGCAAGGAGTATAAATCCTTCCATTCCCCACCTTCCGCTCACAGCTGAAGAAGCTTCTTGGATGAGAAGCGAAACGTCTTCCGAGAAAAATCATAGACGAAGCTTCAAGTGGCTTCAACGACTCTCTAAAAAGAATGCAAATGACCAACAGTCGGAGCGTAAGAAGCTTCTTGGATGGGAAGCGAAACGCCTTCGAAGAAAAACCAGAAAGTCCAGTTGCTTCTTCAAAAAAGCCCCCCCGAGGATACAAAGTTCCAAGAGGCCTCAAGGACTTCTCTAAAAGGATGCAAACGACCAGCGGTCTGCAAGGAGTATAAATCTATTCCCCACCATCCAGTCGGAGCAGAAGAAGCTTCTGGGATAAGAAGCGAAACATCTTCAAAGAAAGTCCAGTTGCCTCTTGAAAAAGCCCCTTTGGGACAAACCACGACTTGGATGACGGAAAATCTCCACAGACATTGTGCCATGTTTGCAACGAGTAGCTTTGGTACCGGTTCGCTGCATGTATTGCTTGCCCATGCGCCGTTCGCTGTTAACGGTTGTGCGCATGCACAAAGACTAATGAATAAGATGCCAGCAACTGCAACGGAGACCGGGGAACCGGTTCTGGGGCGTAGCCAGCCTGAGTCACTGCTGGTTGTGCGACTCAGGCCAGATTACCGCTACCGGTTCGGGCGAACCGGGAGCAACCCACTTCTGGCACACATGTCACCTGTGCTGCCGGTTTTCCCGCTGGAAAGTGAGTCCATTGGAATGAATCTGGACCAGACCTGAGCGCAGGGATGGCATTTAGGAGGGTGTGGGCAGGTGGGCGGTTGGCGAATTTCTGCCCCTTTACAAAGAACCGGGCGGGACGCCGTCTTTCTTCTGCTGCTGCTCGAGCTCCTGCAGACGCTCCTCTCGAAAGTAGGCGTGCTGGGTGCCCACCTTATGGGCCGTCTCCGTGGCGGTGATGTCAATCTGGGCATATTTTGTGGCGTCACCACCTGGGTGTAAAAGTATATTGCGTTGGCCACACAGCGTAGCCCACACCCGAGGAGCGGAAATCTCGGTTTTGCACGAAGGACCGATAAGGGGGAACCTCCCCCACTACCACCACCGCAACCTTAATCTGGATCTCTAGAAGCTTTGGAGAGCAAACATAGGCAGTCCTTGACTTACGACATTCCGTTTAGTGACCGTTCAAAGTTACAATGTACTAAAACTCTATTTTTCTGCTATCCTTCCTTCCTCCCTCCCTCCCTCCCTTCTCCATCACTGCAAGTTTTTAAAAAGAGAATGGACCACCACCTGTCTGAAATGATCTAGGTCCTCCTGTTTGAGCAGGGGTTGGACTAGAAGACCTTCAAGGTCCTTTCCAACTCTGATATTCTGCTATCTTTCCTTCCTTCCTTCCTTCCTTCCTTCCTTCCTTCCTTCCTTCCTTCCTTCCTTCCTTTAACACTGGAACTCTTTAAGAACAGACTGGATAACCAGCCGTCTGAAATGGCATAAGTTCGCCTTCCTTTATATTCCAAAAGCTTACTGCAATTCTTAGCGTAGCTCAGAACGTCACAAAAAAACATACACTCTTCCCCGCTGGGCCATTTTCGGAGATCCTCACCTCGAACGCTCCCGCTGGGCTCCGGAAGCTCCACCTCCATGTAATGGAGTTGCTTCTTTGCTGTCGGGCTCGTGGGGATGTTCACGTAAGTTGCCATTTCGCCATGCAGTTGCTCCGAAAGTGACGGCTCTGCGGGAAGAAACAGAAGACGAAGTCTGTGGGGATGACCTTGGAAGCGAGAGGAAGCGTCAAGGCTGCAGAAGGAATGTGGGCCGGATTATGTCTCACACGGGACCCTCCCCAGGATCTACGAGGGTAAAGGTGTGGGAGGGAGGGGGAAGAGAATGTATTTTCAGACTAGCCAAATTTCCTTTGTATCCCCCCCCCTTTTTTTTACAGCACTGTAGTCTCTTAAATCGGGGCAACTGACCAGAGCTGAGCATTTACTGGCCAAATGCCCTTCCTGACACCTACATGGAGTTCACAGTAGATACTTTCTCTTCGTGCCCTGAGAGAGAAACTAGGAAATTTCTAGGGATTTTTTCTCTTTTTATGTCCCTGTAGTTCCTTAATTCAGGGTAGGGTCAGGGTGATTGACTGGAGCTGAGCATTTACTGGCCGGATGCCCTTCCTGACACCTATGTGGAGTTCACAGTAGACATTTTCTCTTCGTGCCCTGAGAGAGAAACTAGGAAATTTCCAGGGTTTTTATTCTATTTATGCCCCTGTAGTCCCTTAATTTGGAGTGGGGTCAGGGCGACTGACTAGAAGGGAGAGTTTACTGGCCAGATGCCCTTCCTGACACCTATGTGGAGTTCACAATAGTTATGTACTCTTTGCGCCTTGAGAAATTATGAAATTTCCCGTGAGTGTGGTTTTCTTTTTCTTTTTTATGACCCTGTAGTCTCATAATTCAGGGTGGGGTCAAGGCCACTGGGTGGAGTGAGCATTTACTGGCCGGATGCCCTTCCTGACACCTATGTGGAGTTCACAATAGTTATGTACTCTTTGCCCCCTGAGAAAATATGAAAATTTCCGTGCGTGGGGGTTTTTTTTTTTTTTTTTTTTT